ATTAATTTTTACATGTACTTTTCTCAATCATACCTCGATGTTTTTCTTATCTATTTCCATAAATTTATTTTTATAGATTAGAATCAGTTTTTTTTAGCATTTCATTGTCATGTAAAATAATGTTTTCTTAGACCTTACATTTTTTTTTTTTTAATGCGAAAGGTTTCAGTTTAATATCTATTTTTGGAAATTCAGTTCTCATGTTCTTTATAATATATAAACTATTTCACATACATATAATATGTATATTAATATTTAATTAATATACATATATTATATTTAAACAAAAACTGAGCAAAATTTATTATTGTAAATCATCAATGGGTCAAACCATTATATTTCAACTAAAGTGGTCGCTGACTAATTTTTAAAAATTATAATACTTTGCAGGAATGATTTTGAAGTTATCAAGATCACGAAATGAAAAGAATTTTATTAAAAATTTAAATATTTATTGTAAAATATGAATTTAAAGTATATGAGGTGCTAAAAACTGTCAATTTTTTAGCCATTAGAAAATATGCAAAAAAACATAGAATTTACCATAAAAATAAAAAAAAATTATTGGAATTTACTAAGAATGAATAAATTTATCATTATCAATTGATATAATTATTTAAAGATGTGAAGTAATATATAAAATATGATTTCCAAGTGCACCTGTCAAATAACCTAATTTTGCGATTTTTATTCATTAATTATAAAAAATAGAAAACATTAAATTAAATAAAAACTTACCAAATATGAAGTTCTTGCCATAAACTTTTAGAATTTCTTTGCACTTTTCTTCTTTTCTATTCATAAGTATGAAAAATTTAAAAAATAAAATAGCTACTTTGTCTATTTTCACTATTTTTGAAAGTCAATAACTTTCTTGGAGAAAAATGAAAAAATATGGGGTTTCGAAAATTATTTAAATACACACTACATATACATTCACTGAAAATTTCGCATTGGTCCCGAAGCTATTTTCGAAGATAAAGTAGATTAAAAATTTCGTATTTTTTAGGCTATATTGACATGGGTTTTAAAGGTATTAAATCAATGTGAAGTTTGTCGTCACCAGTGAACCACCTTCACATTGATTTAAAACCCATGTCAATATAGCCTAAAAAATACGAAATTTTTAATATACTTTATCTTTGAAAATAGCTTCGGGACCAATGCGAAATTTTCAGTAAATGTATATGTAGTGTGTATTTAAATAATTTTCGAAACCCCATATTTTTTCATTTTTCTCCAAGAAAGTTATTGACTTTCAAAAATAGTGAAAATAGACAAAGTAGCTATTTTATTTTTAAAATTTTTCATACTTATGAATAGAAAAGAAGAAAAGTGCAAAGAAATTCTAAAAGTTTATGGCAAGAACTTCATATTTGGTAAGTTTTTATTTAATTTAATGTTTTCTATTTTTTATAATTAATGAATAAAAATCGCAAAATTAGGTTATTTGACAGGTGCACTTGGAAATCATATTTTATATATTACTTCACATCTTTAAATAATTATATCAATTGATAATGATAAATTTATTCATTCTTAGTAAATTCCAATAATTTTTTTTTATTTTTATGGTAAATTCTATGTTTTTTTGCATATTTTCTAATGGCTAAAAAATTGACAGTTTTTAGCACCTCATATACTTTAAATTCATATTTTACAATAAATATTTAAATTTTTAATAAAATTCTTTTCATTTCGTGATCTTGATAACTTCAAAATCATTCCTGCAAAGTATTATAATTTTTAAAAATTAGTCAGCGACCACTTTAGTTGAAATATAATGGTTTGACCCCAATATATTATTCTACTTAAATTCCTTAAATCAGCGATAAGTACTTTCTTTTTTTAAAATATTGTGTATTGTATCAGTCGATTAACATTAGAATATTTCAAAAATATTGCAAAATAAAAGGCAGAAACTCTAAAATAGATAAGTTATGATGAAAGTTTTTTTTATAAGAAAAGGAAAAAATAATTCTATTTTCAAGCACTTCCAATGAATATTTGAGATTTAAGGAAAGTAAGATAATATTAAAATTAAAAATCATTTAATTGTGATTTTTTTTTATAAGAAAGAAGATCGTGGACACCGAAAAGAATATTTTTTCTTTTTGAGAAATTCGCTATTATATTCTTTCATTATTTTTTCTTCTACATCAAAAGAAGGATAATATTATTTTCAATTTTTTTTATTACTTTTTTAAATATTGATTAAAAGTTTAAAGTTTGTTTTAATTAAAATTTTGTTAAAATTTTTTTTTCTAATATAATTTACAAAGAAAAATGTTTGAAAATTTGATAAATATAAAATTGTACAATTAACGGTGTTCCGTAATGGCAAGCAGTGGTTGTCTATTAAAAATGAGGTACATTTAATTTAAAAAGATTTTTCTCTCAAATCGGATAGAAACGGAAAAATCTAAAAAAATACCAGTTATCCTGAAATGTTGTACTTTCATTTACGTACAAGAAATTGAAAATTCATTACGATAAACGACGTCAGGAAGTAAAATAAGAATTTTTTTGTAGCCGTTAGGTGCTGCTCCAGACGGTAAATTTCAGTACTAAGCAAATGTTTATACTCTTCCTATTTTACTTCCTGTCGTTTTATATGTGAATAAATCTTTAATTTCTTGGAGGCAAATGAAAGTACACAAACTCAGGATAACTGGTATTTTTTCCGATTTTACCATTTCTGTCCGAATTGGGAGAATAATATTTTTAAAATTAAATGTACCTCATTTTTAAAAGACAACCACTGCTTGCCATTACGGAACACCGTTAAGTGAGATTCAATTTCAATTATATTCCCGCCTTGTTTGAAAAGACAATCATTTCTATCTATTCACGCCGCATTTATAGAATACAAATGAAAAAAATGTATATTTTTATTTATAAAGTTAAAATTAAAAAAACGTTCAAACATTTTATACTTTATCGCAAATATAATTTATATTTGGTAAGTTACGAATTTATTTTTATAATTTTACTTTCTTGTAATGAACAAAAATCGTAAAAATAGAAACTGAAAACAAAACAATTAAAAATAATCAATTTAGTCTCTATAATTGTTGTATCTGATATTTTTAATTTTTAAAATCTCAGAATTCTGATTCCGCGAGTGGATAAAAATGAAATATTGTCTTTCTTTTCAAATAGGGTGGGAAAAATTTATTTATTTTTTCCTCGGATATACTTCCGAAGTAGGGGTACCTCCGATTTTAATAAAACTTGGTATACTAACGTATTTTGGTGCGCTGATTACGAAAATGATAGTGAAAAGTGGCGCAAATTTGATTATCATGGTAAAAACCATAAAAAACACCATAAAATAATGGTTTTTTACGATTATCTCGTAAAAAACAAAAAATTTCGAAAAAAGTTTTAGACAAAAGTTGTAGATCTCAAAAAAACACACATTTTATGTTTTATGCATTTTTTACCAAAAGTCATTATTTTTCGAGAAAAATGGTCCGAAAGTAATTTGCGGAAATTGTGGGGTAGACTACAGCAGCGGTAAATGCAAAATAGTAAACACGGCCTTCGGCCGCGTAAGGTACTGCTCGCTTCTCTTTTTAAGAAATCTTGGCGAAAGGGGGTGGATGTGTCCGAAAGTAATTTGCGAAAATTGTGGGGTGGAGTCCACAGCAGCGGTAAACGCAAAATAGTAAACACGGCCTTCGGCCGCGTAAGGTACTGCTCGCTTTTCTTTTTAAAAAAAACCTTGGCGAGAGGGGGTGGATATGGCCGAAAGTATTTTGCGGAATTCGTTATATTCTGACTAATGGTGAATATGATACTGTATACGAGTCAAATAATATGTCTAACCATGACTGCTGTATATGTTTTCATTATCATGGTGTTTTTCGTTTTTTGGATTTTTCTCGAAAAATAATGACTTTTGGTAAAAAATGCATAAAACATAAAATGTGTGTTTTTTTGAGATCTACAACTTTTGTCTAAAACTTTTTTCGAAATTTTTTGTTTTTTACGAGATAATCGTAAAAAACCATGATTTTATGGTGTTTTTTATGGTTTTTACCATGATAATCAAATTTGCGCCAATTTTCACTATCATTTTCGTAATCAGCGCACCAGAATACGTTAGTATACCAAGTTTCATTAAGATCGGAGGTACCCCTACTTCGGAAGTACACCCTTTTCCTCTAACTTGAAAATTTCAGTTTTCGGTGCAAAACTAAGAATGTTAGTTAAAAAAAAATTAAAAAAACAAATATTTCTAATTAATATTATGTTAAAAATAAACAAAAAAAGAAAATAACCTGAAGGTATCATTAACATAAACCTTATTTTTACAATAATAAAAACACTTCATATAATGTCATATAAGTATTGTAAAGTTTACGGCAAGTAAATGTATCTGAGATTTCAGAATCTTATCTGATTAGTGGAGACTGAAATTTTAAAAACAAGATAAGTGCGAAAAATATTCGGACAAACATTTTAAACATAATCAAATGCTATTAAACAATTTTCGTTAGAATATATAACATTCAAAAGTTAATATTATCATAATTTTACACAAACTCTTCAAAATTCAACACCCACACATACACAAGAAATTTCAAAAATAAAAAAGAAATGTAATTGTCTTTAAATTAAAATTATATTAAAAAATTATTTTTTGTCAATTTAAAATTCTTTAAGAGTAAAAAGATTGAATGCAAAAAAATGTAAAATATAACAGAGTTTAAACAGTATTAAAGTTAATTTTTTTTAACAACAGCAGAAAAATATATAAGAATTTTTTTTTTTTGTAAATTGACTTTCGGCTTTTCTCTTACTTTCTAGACTCCTCTAATCAGAACAATTAAAATCAATTCTGATAAAATTAATTAATGAAAAAATTAATTATTTGATAATAATTAATTCGAATATGTGCACAAGTAAACTTGTGTGTTAAAATGATTATAAAAAAGCGACTATCAAAAAAGCACATTTTAAAGATACATAATAAATTTGCAATAACGATTCAGTACTCTTTAAACTTGCCACAACATGTTTAAATATACATAGTATAATAATAATAATAATAATAATAATAATAATAATAATAATAATATCTTAACTAACTGTTAGTAACTTTGGTTGTTGACGATTTGCATAGCCAAAAAACATTATTTTTAAAATCAGATATTTTTCTGATGGACATTTAGTTGTTCCCAAACTGGTTCAAATTTGTACAAATTTTCATTACTTTTTGTTTTCTTTTTTTTATGCATAAAATCGTATAACACTTTTTATTCGAATTAGAGATATTTTTTTTGACATATTTTTGGATGAAGAGATTTTGTAAAAATATGTGAAAATGATTCGAAGATACATTTTTTTTTTTGAAAAAAGTGTTTTACAAATGTACATATATTGAACCGTCAGGGGAAGAACACGTTCGAAAGCTAAATATATTTTTTTTCATATTATTTATATATATATATATATTTATATAACCTCAATTTCTTCTCGCAATTATTTTCGATACTTTTAAACTTATTAAAAATCGACGTTATTTCGAAGTATACAAAAAATACGAGTTTTCCTTTAGTCTGAAAGAATGTTTTTAATTTTTTTTTTTTATAATTCGCGAATTTCGACGTTTCACAAATAATCTGGGACAAGAGACGTTTAATTAGAAAAAAAAATAATAATTTCATTTAATTTAAAATATAAAAATTATTTAATTAAATAAAAATTCGATTATGAAAGTTTTTTAAAATTTGTTTCAAAAATGAAAAAAAAATTGACGACCATTACTTGACAACGAACAAATATGAAAATTTCAATTATTTTAATCAATTCTTTATAGAATTAAATTCTAATCGCTGTAATTTTACATCTCCGGTCCCATCAATATTTTTATTTATAATTTTTAGCTGCACAGTATTTTACCAATTATTATTTTCTCATAAAGAGCTGTCCAACCTGATGATATATATTTTCATAACTTTCTCATCCATTAAAATTAAAAATGACTAAAAGCCACTACTAAAGTGAGTTTTAAATTTTCCGATATGTGTTAATTATCTGATTTTCAATTAATTCTTTGAAAAAATGTTTCATAAAAATAAATTCTGACATTTTTCAAACATTTCCATGCAAAGGTTCTCTAAATTATTAAAATAAAAATAATGTTTTAAAAAATTGAATTTATGCATTTTTCAATTCCTCGAAGCATTGAAAAAAATATACTATTACGATGACTGTATGTGTGTTTTTTTAAAATATTATTTACACCTTATAAACTCTTAGATTCGTGAGGAGGATTTCTTTTTTCATTTTTTGTATTCGTAAAATTGAGTAATTCCTAAAATTTGCAAGGCCTCTAAAAGTTGGACAGCTCTTAATTAAATGAATATGAAGAACGTTCGATGATTATATTGTGTTGAAAAATAAAAAAATGATAATCAAAATGGTGCGATTATCGCTGCTGCTTCACCTCGGCTCGTTGGAAGAGAAGCGCACTCGTGCCATGTATCGGAATTTGGATCGTAACATTCGACAGTAGAAATGGTGATTTGCGTTCGGTAAAAATTAATTTCTTGTGATTGATCGCCGCCTATAACGTATAAGCGTCCATCAGCCGCTGCTACAGCAGGATACGACCTGCCAACTTTCATTGGAGCGACAGTTGTCCATTCGTTCTGCAAAATTAAGTATTGTTTTCTCTTTTTTTAATATTATTTTTCTTTTATTGATTGTAAGAATTGAATAACTGAAAAAATAACAAATTACAAAATATAAATGGGGAAAAATATTCTTGAATCTATCCATTATATTTTACCTTTTGTATTTTTTTCTTAATAAAATAATCAATTAATATAACTATTTTGGAATTTATTTTGAACAATCATCAATAAAGAAATTTATATTATCTGAATTATTTCTGTATTATTATTAAATTTTAAACGATTAAAGATATGTCTTTCTACAATTTGGTATGCAGAATCTATATAATTTAAGCTATCTTTTACGATATTTTTAAATATTTTTAAAAGTGGTCACAGTCTACGAAAAATTGATTTAAAATTTGTTTTTCAATTTTTGATGTTACCATTAATCCTAATATTAAATAATTTTTCCTTTCATTATTTTGATATTAGAAATTGATATTTTTTTCGATTATTCGAAGTGAGAAATAAGTGGCCTGATGATAGTGTCAAACCAAGACACCGAAACGTTGCCAAACAAGTGATTTGGTGTTTTATTTCTCACTTCCAATAATCGAAAAAAATATCAATTTCTAATATCAAAATTAATCTAATCTTCAAAATTAATACCATGATGTTAAACGACATTAAATTTACTACAAAATCCACACCTACTTTTCTTTGTTTAATGGATTTTCAATAAAATTGTAATACAGGCCACGAATTATACTTTTTCTGACTTTTTTCGAGTTATTTTAATAAAATGTGACTTTTTCTCCTTTTTTTTACATTTTTTTACAAAATTTCTAAACAAAATACGTCTTTTTAAAATACAATGCAGATCTTCTTCAGAACTTCTTCTTTTCAATTATTTAACAAATTTTTAACTAAATTTCTTCACTAAATTAATTATTTTTAATAATTTTAATGAAATTCTTTACAAATTCAATTATCTTAAACTATTTTTCAATTAAAATTTTTTTGAAATCTAATAATTGTTTATAATTTTAAAGAAATTAGCAAATAAAATTACCAAAAATTATTAATTCAAAATAACTTGAAATTTAATTATTTAAAAAATTTCAATTATTTTTAATGATTTTTATAATATTTTTCGAAAATTCAATTATCTGAAAGCATTTTTCAATTAAAAACTTTTAGAATTCAAGTTTTTTATATGATTTCTAATAAAATCTTCATCAACAGAAATCACTAAAAATTTCTCTTATTATAATTATTCATCATGATATACTTATATTGAAGATTAAAAGAAGGATTACAACTAAAATAGCGATCAATTTTACAAATATTGGTAAAATGTAAACTTTATAAACATCAATCGATTCGTTTTCATGCCAGGAATACGGTTTTGACAAAATTTATTAAAAATTTTCATGAAAAAAAAGTTATTTCAAAAAATACCCGTGTGGAAAAAGCCACGATCTTGCCCTCAAGAGTTCGGGGCCCCCGGCGGGGGCCCATGAGGGCTGATCCATATGGCGAATCCATGAGGGGCCCCGCATGGATCGCCCTCATGATCGATTAGCAAAATTTTCTAAGTCCAAAAATCAAATATTTTTTTATCACCAAAAAATTAATGTTTATAATGATTCAGAACAACGAAAAACGCGTTTTTAATAAAAATATATTTACACTTTTTTGAAAATTCACCTGAGATGATTCATGATAATAATCATAAAGCATATAATTAATTATATTTTATAAATTGCATTTGATTGGAAAATATAATTTAATATCTTAACTTTAACTAAATGATGTTAAGCACTTTTCTTTGTTAGGTATTTTTCAAGTTTAAATAGCATCAAGAAGTTAGCATTCGTTTTGAAGTAGCGTGCGTAGCGTAGTTGGTTAAGCGTTAGACTCATAGTCCGTAGGTCGTAGGTTCGATTCCCCCCATGCGTTAGATTTATTTATTTCTCAGGTTTGCGTTTAATCATTAATTCTATGTATGAATTAATTGAAAAATGAAAATATCCGTTAATAGTATGCATAAATTACATATTTTTTAATTTTTTAATTAATTAATTTATTATTACATTTAATTATATCCGACAGTTAATTAATTAGAACGTTAATTAATAAATTCAATTTGAGTAAGAATTTAATTTAAAATTGAATAATTATTAAATAAATATGTTATTTATTCATAACTTAAGCTTATTTATTATTAATTAACTTTTATTATTAATATTATTGATTAAAAAACATTATGGCAAACTTGAGGGCAAGATGAGGGCAAACGTGAGGGCCCATAAGGGCGCCCGTAGGGGCACCCTCATGGATCGCCCATGCGGGCGCCCTCATCGATGAGCATGTCGTTTCCATGAGGGGCCCCTATGGATCATCCATATGCGGCCCTCATGGCATGAGGGCGATCCATAAGGGCCCCCGCTGGGGGCCCACATCACTTTTCCACACGGGATACGAAAAATTTTTTTTTTTTAAATTAAGGAGGTTATAACGGAAATAGAATTAACATTAGTAATTTAATGAAACCTAGTCCACTATTAGATAAATGTTTGAAAATTATGTAGCTAAATTTTTCAGACCTCTAGGTTCTTGTGAAAAAAGTTATAAGCGTTTTTGTTTTTTAACAATTAACATTGTGTCTTATGGGAATTAAGTACTTTTTCATACATATTTACTCACCACAAAATAATTAACATTAAGAAATTGATGAAACTTTTTTTTAATACAAAACAGATATTTAATTATTAAATATCTGTTTAAAAAAGTGTTATTAGGTTCTTGTGGGAGCTGCAATAAATTAATTTTTAACAATATTTCACGTTTTATACGTTAAATTGAACAGCTGTCAGAACGTCTGGCAACGTTGCACACTTGATCATGCATATTATACGTTAATTTTGCGCGCTAAATTTTAAAATGTTCATTCTGATAGCACGTATAAAATACGCTATATTTAAAAAGAAAATAAAAGTTAATAAATAAAATTGATTATACATTTTTAAAGTTAAATTAAAGTTCATTAAATAGAGGGATAATTGTTTTATTAAAGTAAACAAGTCATATAGCAACCATTTGCAACTCGACTGACGTAATGTGGTGTTGCCAGACGTTTCACAGTACCGAGAAAGTCAAATCATAAAATAATGGTTTCTGTTTTGATTAGTTCAGTCAATCCCTATAACCTCCTTAAAAATTGATATAATTTATAGATTTTAAGTAAAATATAGACTTTATATAGATTAATCAATTTGTTTTAATGCGAGAAATCAGTTTTTTGGATAAAAAAAATTATATTTACAGGGTAAAAAAATTTTTGGTTAAAAAACGTATTTTGGAATTTTTGAAAAAGTGACAAAAAAAATTATGTGAATATTTTTGGAAATCCTTGTGTCTAATTTTAGGTATTGATGACTGTAATAAGCCTATAAAATTTCAGAACAATCCATCGAAGTGTATTAGAGATAATTTGTACACAAGATTTTGTGACACACACACACAAACACATCCGGACATTTGTTTAAAACTTCAAATATATGCATTCTAGATAAAAATAAACCCATTTTTAAAAAATCGAAAATCCTCACGAATACAAAGCTTCCTCATGAGGAGAGGAAGCAAAATCACTTGAAGTTCAATTAATTACAAAAATCTAAATTGTAAATCTTTGAAAATTCAATTATTTTTAAAAAATGTTATCTAAAATTATTTGATAAATTATTTTTAGTTCTGTAAAATTTAATTATTGTCTGAAAATTAACAAAATCTTTTGAAATTCAATTATTTCTAAAAATTTCAACTTTAACTCTTCCAAAGTTATTATTGTTTAAAAAAATTTTTATTTAAAAATCTGTAAAACTTGATTAAGTATTGCCGGGTAATTTAAAAGTAATATTGAAAAACAAACCAAGATCGGGGATGTCCGCTTCACGTAGAATGCCCCAACTGTCAAAATAATCTTTTTTCCGGGCAACTCAACTTTTACATTCAAATTTCAAGGTATACAAATATATAAATTTTATAAAATAATTGTCAAAAATAAATTTTACGGAAATTAAAGTTTTGAAGAAAATAAATTGGAGTTATTAAAAATTTTAATCAGTAAAAAATAGAAGAAATAAACATTTGCTGAAAATATTCTTAATTAATTGAACTGCCAGATCAAAGAAGGGCAAATAATCCATTTAAATTACATTAGTTATGTGCCCTTCTTTGATCCGGCAGCTCAATTAATCATTTTATGTAATGAGAATTATAGTAAATTTAAATTCTAATAAACGAATTTTCATGTTGTTTGACATTTGAAATTTGTAAATTAGATCAAAAATAATTCGAAATATTTACAAAAAAATTCTACATTTGCTACATTTTGTAACGAAATAAAAAGAAACAGAAAAACGATATTTTTGGTGAATAATTATAATTTACCTTTTTGAAAGAATATCGCTCGACGGATGTGAGTACCTCGTGATTTTTATTAGTACCACCAACAACGTAAATGTAACCATCAAGAACGGTGATTCCCATTTGTGAACGTGGTGTTAATAATGGAGCTAAATATTTCCATTTTTTATTAACTGGATTGTAGCTCATAACTTCTTGATGATGTCGACTAACGTGAGTACATCCACCGACAACATAGATGAGCCCTAGAGAAAATGAGATTTTCAATATATTGATTATAATTTATTAAAGCTTTATAACAAGAATAATTATATTGTATATTCTACCTTCATAAGCAACGACACCCATGCTAAATCTAGGTTCTGGAAGTTCGCCATCTAACGTCCAAGTATTGGTTATTGGATCGTAAATTTCAATAGAACGTCCAATATCTTCACCGACCCAACCACCAAATGCATATAAACTATTATCCAAGGCACATAATCCAAAATCACATCTAGGCTCTTCCATGCATGCGATTGAGGTCCAAACGTCGTCACGGGGATTGTAACATTCTCCGTTCGCGATTATACAGGATTCCAATTCACCTCCAACAACATAAACTTTACCATCTAATAATGCAACACCTGGTAGAATTCTGCCTATTCCAATCGGCGCCACTTCGCTCCACTCTCTAAAATACAATTTCTTATTTTCTACACTCGTGACAAAGAGTTATGAATTCAATTTAAAGAAAATTATAAGAGTAAACGAGGGAAGTTTTTAAAACAAAATAATTCAGGGATGGCAACCGAAACCCTCATTATAAAGCTAATTTTTATATAACAGATTTTCTAGTGCAACGAATTTCTATTTTATCGAATTTTCATTTTACAAAATCTTTATTTAATAAAATTTTCATTTGGTCAAAATCAAAGAAAAAGTGAAAAAATAATTAATAACATTTTTGGTAAATATATACCTACTAATTATATCAAATTAAACATAAATAGTTAGAAAATTATTCATCTAAATATTTAAATCACGATATTGAGACTTTCGTACAGTGATAAATTGACTTTTTCATTTTCGAGTATCTTCTATGGAGAAAAATAAATTATTATTATTATTATTACATCTTACCCAGTAAATGTGTCGTATTTGTCAATAGTTTCGTAAGTACTTTCGGCAGCTCGAGCCCAACTATCGGGACAATGTTCCCTTTTTGAACCACCGATAACCAAGATGTTTTTCTTAGCACAAATTCTTGGCTGCGCGTGTAATGGTACAAGGCAGCCTTTGTTGGAAATTAAGTCTTTCTGAATTGATCGCAATGCCACTATTAGACTAGCATCTTTGCAATCAAGTATTGTTTGCTCCAGGCGAGCCAAAGAGCAAAGTCGCAGTCTTATATGACCTAAGATTTCAAAAACATAACATCTTCTAGCCGATATATCCTGTGTTATCCAATTATACGCCGCTTGGAAGACCTGAATTAAATTCATTCATTATTTCACAATTTATTTCATTCATTTTTTTTTTCATTACTAAAATTCTACATATGAGGCATTTTACGTGTAATGTCCTGAGTTAAAAAATTGATTTCTCGAAAAAAAGTGAAACTTGGGGAAATTGTTGTCCTACCTGATAGTAAAATATGTCCAAAAAAATTTTTGACTTTTTTGAAATTTTGGGGGAGATAGAGGGGGTCAATTTTATCAGTTTTTCCTGACACTGCCTACTATTTGAATTTTTTCTGTCTATAAATGCAATAAAAAAAATTTTGTCATGTATGTTTTTTGAAGGTTTTTTCATGCTCTTTCGAATGGTGAATTTCGTTTTTTCAAATTTTTGAATTTTGACCTTGATTTTCTATAATTAAACATAAATTTGCTATTTTCACTAAAATCGGTGCGTTTTTTTAAAATAAATAATTGCAAACGAAAACTGAGATTTTTTCCGATGTGTATATAAATTTTCAGAATGCCGATTTTTTTTGTTTTCGAGATATTAAATGTCAAAATGTCCGCGCGCGCCAGTGTTTACAGCTACCGCGGCGCGGTATGAGTCGACCGCCTCGCCGCGCGCGCGGACGTAAAATCTTTGACATTTAATATCCCGAAAACAAAAAAAATCAGCATTCTGAAAATTTATATACACATCGGAAAAAACCTCAGTTTTCGTTTGCAATTATTTATTTTTAAAAAAACGCACCATTTTTAGTGAAAATAGCAAATTTATGTTTAATTATAGAAAATTAAGGTCAAAATTCAAAAATTTGAAAAAACGAAATTCACCATTGGAAAGAGAATGAAAAAACCTTCAAAAAGCATCCCTGCCAAAATCTTTTTTATTGCATTTATAGACCGAAAAAATTCAAATAGTAGGCAGTGTCAGGAAAAACTGATAAAATTGACCCCCTCTATCTCCCCCAAAATTTCAAAAAAGTCAACAATTTTTTTGGGCATATTTTACTATCAGGTAGGACAACAATTTCCCCAAGTTTCACTTTTTTTCGAGAAATCAATTTTTTAACTCAGGACATTACACGTAAAATGCCTCATATATAGTAAAACAATTCAATAATTTTGTATTATAAGATTTAAACTGCATGCAGAGAAAACATATTTGTAAAACAATGCTAATGTTATTTTGAAGGTACCTTATATTAATTAAATGGCCCACATATGTATAAATTGGCACAGAAAAAATTTAATAGAAAAACGAAGAAAAAAAGGAACTAATGTTAATAATATTTTTATATAAATTAAAATTTTTTTCTTAGTATTAAACTACACCTAGAAAAATTTTTGAAATTTTTTAATTTTTTAATCTTCATTATCCTACGAATAGAAAAAACTTTTTAAAATTTCATAAATTATATTTCTGTTTTTAATACTTTCTAGCATTAAATTTAGATTAAAATTAGTAAAAAAAATTTTTAAATTTTCTATTCACCTGAAATTCGGTATCGATGTGAATATATTCGCTACTGAGGAAGCGAACGAGGTATTCCTTTGGCAGGTCCAAAAATTCTTCCTCTTGTGACACTCGAGGAAAATTGACTTGAATAAAGCGTAAGGCAGTCTCCAAAAGATTTGAACTATTGTGTGCTTCGGCAAATCTAAAAATAAAAATTGTGTAAAATTGTAAAATTCTCAAAATGTTTTTAAATATATTCAAAAAATATCAAAGGATACCAACGGTTTTATTTATTTATTTATGTACATATATACGGGCTAACAAAAAGAAAAAAAAAAGTTATTTCGTACCAAAGTACTAAATTAAAGAAATTATAATATAATTAAAACATTACATATAAGTGTTTTTTTTAAATATAAACAAAAATAATAACTAGGTAGCGTTGTGTAATTATAAAATGAGAAGGTTAATTAATTAAATTTATTCCTAGATTCATTTTTCTAAATTACAGAGTAAAATTACAAAAAAACATAAATTTATTTAATATAGAATTAAAAAAGACCAAGTTATTGCAGTGTAGTTTTAAAAATAAGATTTTAATGTTTAAATTGCAAAATATCTAGTATATTATTATTCGGTTATTTTTTGCATCGAAGTTTCGAAAAAATTATATAAAAACTTACAATTTAAATAACAAAAATTTTCAAATTGATGCATTTTTTTAAAATTTAAAAACATTTTTAAAAAAATCTTTTAACATCTGAAATTTTTAAAAATTTATATCTCAAAAAATTTGATAAAAAAAATTCGAAAAAAATCATGAAATTCTTTTTTGTAGAGTATACAAAGATAAAAAAAATTATATTTCAAAATGTGTCTTACTTTTTTAATCAAATCAAATTAAATCAAAAACATTTTTAATTAAATTGTCTTTCTTTTTTGAAACAAAAACTAAAATGATCTGAAAAGTAATTTTTTTTTCAAAATGTTTGATTATTTTTACAACATACCCGAGTTGAAATTTGAAACCCTTTATAAGTTTTCCAATAACCTAATTTTAGACTCCTTTGATTCTCTTTAACATTATTTACTTCCCTTTTAGAAACCAAATTTGCAAAAATGGTAATATCCACTATATTTGAGAGTTTAAAAAGGTCTTGTAGACAAAATAGAGAGGCGAAAAGGAGATATTTCATATTTATAATTATATTATAGTTGCCATTATGAATATTGTCTTTTTTCATTTTTAATATTATTTCTAATATTTTATAATATATTTCAATCTTTGTTTTTTTATGTTTCTAATCAAATTATAAAATTTCATGCAATAATTTTATATCCTTTTTTGAATCTTTTACAGGGTTGCCACAAAAATTTCATTATAATTTTCCTTGACTTCCAGACAATTTTTTGTGTTTTACCCTGACATTTTCGAATTTTGTTATTTTCTATTCTTTTTAAAAATTCAATTTTTTTCAAAGCTTTCAATCAAATTTTACGAAATTTCAATTACGTACAATTCTTTAAATTCAATATTCGAAAATTCAATTGTTTTCAAAAATATAATTAAAATTCTTAAGTATTAGGGTCAGTTGGGGTAAATGGGTTTATTTTTTTTAAGTTGTTATTTACATTCCCAGGATTAATTTTATGCATCAGAAAAAACTTTAAATTAGCTTTAAATGCATGAAACTGACTGTCCCAAATTTTATGAAATTTCATAAATTTTGGGGTAAATGGAGACAGCATAGTTTCTAAGAAAGTTTTAAGAAAAAAGTTTCCTTAAGTATATTACTGTATTAAGGGATGAAAAAACTTGAAAAAAAATTTGTAGTAGATATATAATAGTTGAACCAATTGAATTTTTTTTATTTTTTTTTATTTTAGTATTTTGTTTCGCATTTGAAAAAAAAAACATACTTAAAAATCATACCAAATTTTTTTTTTATTCCTTATGACTCCCATAACAGAAATTCACTTGAATTTTTGATTTTTGTCAATTTGGTTAATAATGACAAAAATCAAAAATACAAGTGAATTTCTGTTACGGGAGTCATAAGGAATAAGAAAAAAATTTGGTATGATTTTTAAGTCTGTTTTCTTTGAAATGCTCGACAAAATACTGAAACAGTTAGACTTTGATTTTCAAGTTTTTATGTATTGAGTGATAACTTTTTTTATCTTGTTGCCAATTGTCAATATAAAAGCTTGGCTATACTCAAAAACCTTTTGCAGGTGATCTGAGGTTAAAATATTGACGTTGAACTTAATTTTAAAACTGTAAATTAAGCTCCAAAACCTCTTGTCCCCATTTACCCCAACTGACCCTAATTAAAAAGAATTTAATTATTTAATAATTTTGAATAAATTCTTCAATGCCATTATTTTTGAAATTTTTAGTTTAATATCTTTTAAAAATAGAAAAAATCAAAGTATGAATTTACAAAAAATTTCTATTTCAAATCGCCTGAAATTCAATTATTTTGATACATTTTCAAAAATTTTGTACGTATTTTTGTGTGCTAATAATTGTAAAAGAAAGAGATTTTAATAGTATTTCAAACTATAAACAATATTTTCTAAAATTTTAATAATTCAAGATTTCGCTTTAAAATTCAAAGTGATTTAAATATTTTGAAAGTAAAAAATATAAATTCAAGGAGAATTCAATATTTTTTAAATTTATATTTTAAATTTATTTTTTTTTTAAATTTCCCGACATTTCCCTGACTTGTGGCAACCCTGAATTTTATATTACTAAATTTATAATAACCTAGTGCATGTAATTTAAGTTTATAATTTTTGATGTTATTCTTGATAATGCAACATTCAATTGTCCGTGAGTAAATACAGGAATTGGTAAATATATACCAACTTTATAAAAGGATTTGATTTGTCCTTCAGATTTATTTATTGTCCTAGCATACACAATTCTTATTGAAAATTGACGTCTTATCATTTTAAATGATAAATCTAAACGAGATATAAATACTATTTCACCTCTAATTTTTTCCAGTAAATATTTTAGCAGAAATTGCATTATTTTTCAAATTTTTTTTACCACTAATCGAGTACCATTATGTACTCCTTAAACAAAATAATATTTCTTAATAGCATAATAAATAATTACATTACTCCCAGTAGATGAATGTAAAAAAAAAAAAAATACCTGTAAATTCCAAGGGCATTAGAACAATGAAGTTGTTGTTCTAGATAATCGGTACATCCAGAAACAACTTCCTCCAATTCTAACATATCAGCAGCGGCAAAAAGCTCCTGAACATTGTCCTGAGTAATATCAATATTTCCAGTGTAAATAAAATCGACGAGCATTGAAAGTATTTTTGATGAAACTGAATGAATTTCGACAGAATCTTGTTGTTCTTCAACCAATCCACCAGTGAACATTGCATTAAAATAAGCACTACCCGCCGCTAGAACTAATTTATGAGCTCGAATCACACAATCACCAGCGACAAGACAAACATCAGTGAATTGATTTTTTAATCTTTGAGCTTGTAAATTCCTTAAGATTTTTGGAGCGTATTGACCCATTGTTTGTACCGTGTTCGATACATCGGTAGTTTGTTTAACGTTATTATTTTGAGTCGCATAACCAGTTGTTTTTGAATTATTGCCATTTTTTAATGGAGGAACTGCGCCATCAGCCATGAAACCATCGAGTTGACCTTTATCCACGGCTCCTGCAAAATTTACATTATTCTTTAGAAATATAAATTTACATTAATTATATTTTCTTTTCTTTTTTTTTTGTTTTGTTAAAAAAAATCCTGTTTCATTATTATAATTAATACGGTTAATTAATTAAATTTATTATTTTTCTAAATTACAGAATATAAAATTACAAGAAAATTATTTTACAAAATTTAATTTTAGTTTTTATTTTGTTAATTACATTGTTATTTAATTTCATAAGAAATTTAATATAGGTTAGTTTTAATAATTTACAAAAACATTAAATATTCTCATTTTTTTTTTTTTTATTCAATTCGAATATTTATAGAAAAAAAATATATAAATACATCCAATGAAACGAATTCAATTTCTTTCCCACTTGAAATCAATAATCCACTTGAAACTTATTGACCCCTATTTATTTCTTTTAATTGATTAAACTCGAATAATTTTTTAAAAAACAAAATCAAAAATATTTAATAAAAATTATAATAAAACTCTTTTTTTAAAAAAAATATCGTAAATATATACTTATTGTAATCTACATGAAAATTGGAATTTATAATAAAATTAATTTGACAATAGAATCTTGATATATGTAAATTAAGTAGTAATTGAACTTTTATTAATATTAAAATCTATAATAAAATAACAAATTAGCGAAATAATAATAAATACATTATTATTGGATCATTAATAAATAATGTGTCCAATGGATATTAAACTTTTCACATAAAACCAAGTTTCATAAAACAGAATAAAGTAATTAAAGAAATTTTGGATTCATCTACATATATTTTAGAGTCTATAAATTCTGTAAAGAATTGAGTAATTTATTATATATAGGGAGAGTTCATTAAACATTTTTTTTATTATTATTAATTAAGAGCGTAACTGATCATTCAATTTTGTTTTGTGTGTATAAAGTAAACAGCGTAAAAGCTTGAATAAAAAAAAGTGCAATAATTACTCTTGACCACTTTGTTACATCCGCTCTGAGGAGTATAATTATCTAATTAAATGTACTTACGACATATACGGGAAAGCACCTTATAGACGCTATGAAAAGACTTGGCGTTATTTTTTCCCTTTAAACGCATCACTGATGCCACATTTTCACTTGTATTTCAATATTTTCCACTAAAACACTGTTAATAATTTCATTCACTAATTGTCATTTGAAAATAAACACTAAATTGAGAATTGATAACAAATACCCTGGCCTGCACTACAATGACATATGTCAAATAATAACATATATTACACGTAAAGTTAGCTGCAGATTCTAAGAGATCTGAAGTTGTAGACAATGACTGTTGCTCAGGACCGAAATGAGCTTTTAGTCACCCTCGGTATGTTAGTAAATTTCCAAGGTTATTCAGGGCCGAAATTGCGACTATGAATTTTCCTGTATTTTTGGTTCAAAATATTAAAACTTAAACTGCTTCTTTTAATTTCTTTTCATCTTCACGAATAACGAAAAGAAAATTTTTATAGAAACAAATTCTTTGACAATAAAATTGTAGAAGGACCATTAAATAGTTTCATATCTCTGCTCTGTGTATTACAATACCACAATACTTCAGTGATCGCTGTCCAGATAGACGAATAGTTTGTTTTTTTAAACAAGTTTTAATACAATTATTGCATTTTGTAAAAATGTCAAATGTAATTTTGAGTCCTTCAGCACGTGCAAAAACAAAAACCATTGAAGCAGCAAATAAAATTAAGCATGGGTCTCCTAAATTGCAAGAAGTATTAAGAAAGGTTAGTTTTTTGTTTTCTATAAATATTGAATATTATATATAGTATTTCATAATTAAATAATTAAGAAAAGATTAATAAATTGATTCGCTCGGTTGAAAAAATTTAAGTTTTCTTTTTTTTCTTTTTTTTTTTTTTTTTAATTTATTCCACAAATTTTTGTTTATCTAAAGAATATATAATCTAATTTTTGAGTAAAATTATGGGAATATATTAAATCGTAGTTTAAAAAATTCTTAATACAATTAGAAATTTTAATTTTACAATTTCTTTGATTAGACCCATAAAAAATGGACTTCAAATTTTAATTTAAATAAATTGACTATTTTACTTAAAAATAAAAAATTCCTTTACTCAATTCCGAGTTAATAATTAAATGAAAAATTCATTATTTAAATATTTAACTTTCGATTATTTCTAAAATAAATAAATTTAAGAGGGTAAAAATGTATACAATTATGTCTATTAAAAAACATACATAGATAACTTGAAAATCGAAAATGAAAATTTTTCAAGAAATAAAAAATAAATATTATAAGTAAAAAAATATTTAAATTCTGTATATCAAAATAAAATCCTAGAATAAGAAATAACTAATTTTTAAAAATAATTTTTTTTAGAGTAAAGAAAAATGCTATTAACAATTCTTTAATGAAAAAATTTTATTTAGGTATACAACTAAAATATTTACAACTAATTAATTGAATTTTATATAAGTTAATATTAATAATAATTTTAATTATACATAATGTATTTAGAATAAATCTCAATTTTAATCTAAAAAATATATTTCTTGAGAATGAACATTGATTTTTATAAGCTTACCATTGTGATTTTTAAGGGAAAAAAAATGAAATTTTTTTTACAAGAATAATAAAATATTTATAAGTGGTTTTCATTGAATTGAAATTATTTCAGGGTGTCGAGTGGATCTTGAAATTCTTGAAATTGCTTGAATTTTATAACAAAATCTTGATTTATTAAAATTTTCTCAAATAATGATATTTATTTCTTAAGGGAAGGCACCACCTTATATTATTTTGACCCCATTAAATTTAAATAATCGCAAGAATTTATTACACTTTTTTCTGTCATGTGGGTTCTAAAAAACATACATTTTTGATTAATTCAGAATTTATAATCCAAAAATTTTTCAAAATTATATTTTTTTCATAATTTTTACTAATTTTTATCGACAGATCGGTTTTTTTAAAATAATTCTCCAGAGTCTCTTGCACATATAGATTTTCAATAGAAGAAAAAAAAGAAATGAGTTGAATTAATCTCTTTTAATTGTATAAATTCTTCTCCAAATTTTTAACTATTTTTTATCGACAATTTTTTTCACACTTTTTTTAAATAATATTTCAGAACCTCTTTAAAAATTTTAAAATAGTCAAAAATTAAAATTTTATTTTTTTGAACTTCCAGTATATTATTAGAACACAAATGTTGTTAGAAAAAAATATACTTTCCTTCGATCATTAAAATTTAAAAGACTCAAAATAAAGGACTCTAAATTTTTAAAAGTCTCTGCTGAACACAAAATTTTTTTTCAGACATTCTAGGTACAATCACATAATTCTGATTTATGATTAGTTTTGAAGTTTTTTAAATTTTCCTATTTTGTTTACATGATCGGAATAATAATAATGATTAATAGCATTGAATTGGAAATAATTTTTTTTTTTTTAATAGAGATGTCGTGAACGATTACGTGAAAAACGAGGACAACTATTCAATGGACGTAGACTAGGACTTGATTCTTCTGCAGGTGATGTACAAGAAACTTTATCAGGTATCGTTCGCAAAGAATTCGAAGAAATTATTTCAACCGACTGGGATGAAGATCAAACGGAATTGAAGAACATTTTTGAGAGTTTACTTGAATTAGAAGAAACTATCTCTATGGAAGATGAAATTATGGCTATAGAAGGTTTGTGTTTAAAAATAAAAATTCTTAATTAGACTAAATTTATTACAAATTAGGCAGACTGGTTATATGTATATGTAATTGAAACTGAAAATTAATTTAATCCTCGAAATATTGTTTTTTAAAGATTTCTAAAAATGGTATTTTTTTTATTGGCTGAAAACAAATTTTTTCACCAAGTTTAACTAATTTACTTTTCCATGTTGATCAGTTTATTTTAAACTTAAGAAAAAAGTATTAGAAAATAATTTTGACTTTTCTTTACAAAAAAGAAAAAAAATATCCAGTTTGTCTGAATTGGTATTAAAAAAAAATTCTTATTTGTTTTTGACTCTCTTTTTTTTTGATAATAGAACAATGGATTGTTGAAGAATACAATAGAGAATTAGAAAAAGAAGAAGGAGAACGTCTATCGCAGGATGTTGTTTTTTGTCCCATTTGTCAAAAAACTGCACTACAAAAATCTTCCGGTTTTATCAAATGCGATAGTTGCTTTATTCAATTTTCAACTGAAATGAATCTTGAAGATTTTCAAAAGAAAATGCTCAATTTTGCAAATGATCATATGTTAAAATGTAATAAGCGACCAGTTTTCACAGTTATGCCATATAATGACATTGCTGAACTTTATCTCGCCTGTGAGTCTTGTGATAGCTTCATTTCAATTGATCTCTAACTTTAAAAAAAGAAATATTACTACCATAGACAAATTGCTTAACAATTCAGGAAAATTTTTTTATAAACCAAACTTGCGACTTTAGTTATAACTGTTTATTGCCATTGTTGAATTTTATACCACAGATTTAAATTTTGTGATTATATTTTCAATTCACTTTTAATTTAATTTTTTTTTTGAAAATTTTTTTTATTAGGCTTAGAAATTTATTGCTTAAAAAGCAAAAAAAGAGAAATTATTTTTATATTTATATTTTTTATAATCTAGATATGATAAAATTTTGTGTTCCTTCTCAATTTTCAAGACATTTTTCTTTATTTTATGTAAAATTTCATAGAACAAATTATGGAAAAAATTCCATCATGAACAGAAAACAGAAAAAAAGTAAAATTTGCATCTAATTTATTCTTTTTTTTTTTAATAATTTTTTTAATCAACTTTGTCAAAATAATAACAATCATGCTAATAATAAGAAGAAAATGTAGTGTGTATATATGATAATATTTGTCAGTTTAGTATAAGGATTGGAATTTCAATTTTGGTACAAATCAAGTAATTAACCCAGAGTTAACAATAACTTGTTGATGCATATTGTACAAAAAAAACATCCCATCTTTGATTCATTTATATCGTTTTTACCATTTACACTTATACACGCACAGTATTATATTCTCGTTAAAAAAATTTCCGAGTATTGTATTTTTTTTTTATAATTATACAAAGAACTATATTATTGTTTTCAATACTCGGAAATTTCTTTTTAAGTTGACATTATTATATATACCTAATAATCGAACTGTATTAAATGATTTGTACATTATCACATGAAATTTTATAATAAAAAACTTCATATTTTACATAACAATGTTGATGTAACATTTCGTATATGTATATATATAATTTGTGAGCAGCTCTTTCCCTTGTATACGCAACAGGTATTCTTTTTTTTAACAAGCAGTTCGCTGCAAATTGACTTTTAAAAATAAATGTTTTATTTTCAAAAGTTGCAAAATATATATATATATTTTTTTATTTATAACGTAACAACTAGAAATTCGAAAAATAATTAAAAAAAATTTCTTTTACAAATTGTTAAACATTTTTTGCCAAAAAAAAAAATCTCTATCAATGTAAACAACAATTTAAAAATATGTCCTCATAGTTTTCACTTTATAAGAAAAAACTAAAATAAAAATTAAGCAAAACCATTTTTTTTTTTTTTTTTTTGGTGTTTGAATATTATTAATATGCATGCAGCGATAGTTTTTTTTCTATATAGTTGCAACACGCACACATGTAAAAAAAAAAAATTTGTTAGCCGATCTGTATAAAAATATTCTTCGCTCATAAAAAGCCTCATAAAAATCGTTTTTATTTTATGTACAATTTTTTTTTCACGCGCAAATATCGTTAGATATTTCCTGTGCGAGAAAAGTGGAATGATCTGCTCCAAGTTATCATTCGTGATAAGGCAAGTTGTACATAGTTTTTCAGATTTAAAAAAAAAATATATGGAAAAAAAAATTAAAATCTAATAACAGAAATTCTTCAATGTTTTTCAGTCAATTGATTAAATATGATGTGGAGAAAAAATTAATTGTTTCCCTTTTTTGATTCTAAATGACATGAATAATAACAATAATGTACGAGATCGTTATTTTGTGCAATTGAAACTTAATTCTTCGAACTATTTAAAATATCTATTGAAAATTTCAGTATTGTCAATATATATATATATATATAGACATAAATTCCATTTGCTGTATATTGAAAATTATTAACAAATGCAAAATAAAGCAAAATTATGTGTGTGTGTTTTTTTTTGTTTTAAATATATTATTATGTACTTTTTCAGTTTATAAAACTGATACTACTTTGAATTCTCGTACGAAAGAAAATTCATGTTTTTTTCAGCTTTACATATTTCAAATACACAAAAAGTGTAGATTCTTTAAAATATGTGACGCTCCACGAGAAAAGGGACCTAACGTGCTTTTGACTTAAGGTTCGCTTTTACTGTGCAATGACACAGTGAATGAACCTTAAGTCAAAAGCACGTTAGGTCCCTTTTCTCGTGGAGCGTCACATATATTATTGAAAATTTTCATTCATTTGAGTAGCAAATATGAATGAATATTTTTAAATCCTAAGGATTTAAACTTGCTTTTCACGAGTGATTACATTCAGAAGATCTCGATTCACTTTCGATCGACAGCCGCGCGTGCTTCTTGGGGTAACCGTGCAGGATCTGAGAGAATTTCTGTTGCCGTACAGAGATACCTCAATGAATTGAGAACGGCTGAAATGAATAAAAAATTTTGTCAATTATTATTTTAATTTTCATCTTATTCTCTTTATTTTTTATTTTTAATATTTCTAATTTAAATTTATATTATTAAATTAATATTTTTGTAAGAAATATTTTTTTATTTAATAAATCCAGGCCTCGGATCGACTTTAAGGTGCAAAAAAAAAGTTGTTATAGTTGATTTACATTCCAAGAAAAGTAAAAAAAAGTCAATTTCTAATAACTATTGTTATTAGATATTAGATTAATTTTATTAATTACTTAATAAGAATAATTCTATATAAGATTAATATCAAGAAAATTTATTTCGAATATTTCAGAATCGAACTAAGACAAATTTTCAAGATTTTAATTCAGTAGAATAGATTTCTAAAAATCTGATTTAAGCAAATTATTTGAATTGTTTTAAATAATTTTTTTAAATAATTGATTTTTTTGAAGAACTATTAAAAAAATTTAATTATTATTATTTATAAAATTATCAAGTTTACATTTTTGGAAATAATTTTAATTTTTGGTAATCTTATTTACGAAAATTATTATTTTTTTAAAAAAAAGTTAGTTTTCAGAAATTTCACACAATTATTAAATGTTTTAAAATATTTAATTGGAAAATATTTTCAGATAATTGAATTTTTGAAGAATTTTATTAAAATTATTGAAATTAATTTAGCGAAGAATTTTAGTTAAAAATTTGTTTAGTCATTAAATTTCTGAAGAACTGCATTGTATACAAAAAAAGTGTTTTTTTTTAAATTTTGTAAAGAAATGTAGAAAAAGTCTCATTTTTGAAAAAAGTTAGAAAAAGTCTTATAATCCGAGGCCCGAAATGGAAAAGTTAGGAAAAAGAAAATAAATTTATTTATGTTAATTCGTTGGACATCTTGAAAATATTTTAGAATTTGAAAATAAAGTTTAAATAGAAAAAAACTAACCTGGTCTGAGATCAACGAGTGAGCAATGTTGCTCAACCCAAACAATTGTGCTTCTGTACAAGTCATCGATACTTGCTGTTGATACAGAAGTAGTAAAGGAAGTCATCAGAGGTTCAAGTAAAATGCTGAACTGATTATTTAATTAAGGAAAAAATCAATTAAACTTCAACTAAAAAAAAATAATAATAGTATTTGTCCCGCTTTTAATAATGTAACTCTAATAAAAAAAAAAAAAAAAAGGTAACTGCAATTTTTATCAAAAATAAGATTTTTAAAAAGTCATAAAATCGAAATCAATCAATTAATGTAATAAATAAAATTACCTTTTAATTATAATTATTATTAACGTTTTTTTTTAATTCTTCAAATCAAAATAACGAGATTTATTCATTATTTTGTTATATATAAATTAAAAGTTCATTTCTTATTTTTAAAATAACTTTGTTAATTAACAAGTGATAAACATGTCTAATCAATAATTAATGTCAAGGGAAATTATTTAATTAAAAAACATTTAATTGAAATTAAGAAAAGGATACGATCCAAAACTTCCAATTTTCTCTTGTACGCGTACGCACATATTCATCAAACATTTCCTTCATTTTATTGGTCCTGTGTCTGGAGACTGGCGCCCCTGTTGCCGGAAGCATTGATTGACAATTACTGTAAATAATTTTAAACAAAATTCATTCAACATAATCTTCATTGACAAATATCTAACTTAAAAAATATATAATTACATATGAGTAATTTTCTTTAAAAAAAGCCACAAAAAATTTAGAGTTATTGGATTGGTTTAATTAATTAATGCAATAATAAATTAATTATAAATGATTAATTAAAATTCGTATGACTAAGACAAAACTTTATTGATTTTATTTTGCAATTATAGTTTTTTAAAGCATTTTTCATGTAGTCTTCAATGCAAAAAAAAAAAAGATTTCCAAACAAAAATTTTTAACCCCGTTTTTTAAAAATTAATCCAAAATGTTTTATTTATTTTAATAAGAATTGTTAATTATTGATAATTTATTAATCTATATAAAATATTTAATATTTTATAATATTAATATTTTATTTTCAAAAATAACTTTCTGAATAAATATTTATTTAAAAAATACAACAATAAACGTTGAAAAAAATTGACTTTTAAACAACTACATGAAATGAAATAGTGTAAAGTTTAAAATTTCTTCTTTTTCCAGCTTTCATATTCAAAAAGAAAATTCAGGTGCTGAATGCTATAACAACTGATTAAAATCAAACAGAATAACAAAAAACAATTTCTAAAATTTTGAGTAAGTTAACATAAAGCTCTTAAATTTTCCTTTTGTATATGAAAACTGGAAAAATAATTAATATTTTGAACTTTAAGCCATTTCATTTTGCGTTGTACTTTAAAAGAAAAATGTTTTGTTTAAAACAATTATTTTTATTCAAAAAGTTTTATTTTGTCATGAAATATCACAAATAGAATGAAATTAATAAAAAGAAAAAAAAATAGAAAAAACATAATTTTTGAAACTGACCTAATTGACGTATTAAGTCGCTCAATCTGACTTCTCAGATTGTCCATTTCATCCTTGAGTTGATTTCTTTCGGTTCTGAGTTGCCTAATATAATCAGCTCCTTTTTGCAACATTGCAGCTTTACTTGATTTTGCATTTGGATTTTGATTAAGTTGTGGTATTAAACTTTGAAGCATGTCAAAACCATTTTTAATATTATATCTGCGTTTTTGTTCAGCATGAATGTGACCGACTCTTTTGTGTTCTTTGTAATGGCCTCGTTCAGAATCGCCTTTCACATAACCACGTGAAGGTGACAGTGGACTACCCAAACTCACAGGACTGTGCAAGGGACTTAGACTAAGAGCCTGTGGACTGGAACCATCTTTTGGTGAACCAGGACTACCTTGCGACTGATGGGTTTGTTTATTTGAATTCAACAAAACTTGTTGACCACTTGTCGTTTGTTGCATTGACTAAAGTAAAAGAAACAATAAATTCTTTGAGAAAAATAATTTCCAGGTAGAAATATTTCAACTGAGATATAATTATGTAATATTTATTTTAAGAAATTTCCACGCGATCTAGTATAGGAAAATGTGTTTTTCTAAAATGAGAAAAGATTTTGGAACGCATGAAGATTCGACACATTAGACCTGTGAGAATTTTTATGGTGTTGAATTAAAAATTATCGTGTTGTTATTTAGCAGAATTTAATAAAGTAGATTTTATGAGCCGAATTTTCATAAATAATTTCTATTTAATTAAATTCTAATTTAATCGAATTTCTATTTAACTGAACTTTGAAAATTGAATTGTTTTTATTATACAATATTTACTAGGGAATTTTAAAGATAATATTTAATATAGTATTTTTCTATACAGTTAAATTTTGATAAAAAATGAGTTAGATTTCTTTAATTATTCAATTATATTAAATGAGTATAGAAGAGCGATATTTCTTGTACCATTCTCTATTGTTTCTCAAAAATATTTTAAAACCAAATCTTTTTTTATTTTAGACAAAGTTTGAAAGATCTAGCGTCTTTTTCCCGCATAGCCTTAAAAAAAAGATGTTTTATGTTTAAATTAAAAATTTGCTAATATTTACTAATATTGATAATGATAAATAGGCCTTTGATTGACTTTAAAACACAAAACGCAAAAGAAGTCGTTTTAGTCGATTTACATTCCAAGAAAAGTCGAAAATTTAAAGTAACATTTTTTTTTAAATAATTGAATTTTCGAAGGGTTATAATTGACATTTTTAGAAATTAATTAAATTTCAGAAAGTTTTATATTAAACATTTCAAAAGTAATTCAATTTTAGAAGGTTTTTAATTAAAATTTTTAGAAATAATTAAAATAGATTTCAAATTTAAATTTTTCAAAATTTTTTTAAAATCTAAATAATTCAATTTTACAGAATTTTTAATTGAAATATGTTTTAAATAATTGATTTTTTGAAAAACTTGATGAAAATTCATGGTTAAAATTATTATTAAAATTAATTATTATTAATTAATTTTTATTATTATTAATTATTATTATTAATTATTATTAATTAATTTTTATTATTATTAATTATTATTAATTATTATTATTATTATTACATATTATCAATTTTAGATTTTTAGAAATAATTGAATTTTTTACGTGATTTTGAATTTGAAATTTTTGGTAATTTTATTTGCTGAAATTGTTTTTTTTTCTTAGAAATTTCCAACAATTATTGGATTTTTTAAAATATAATTGGAAAATATTTTCAGATAATAATTGAAAGTTGAAGAATTTTGTTTAAATTATGGAAAATAATTAATTTAGCGAAGAATTTTAGTTAAAAATTTGTTAAGTAATTAAATGTTGAAAAAGTTGTATTATATACTAAAATAAGGCGTATTTTTATTAAAAATTTTGTAAAAAATGTAAGTAAAGTCGAAAAAGTTGTATCTTATTAAAAAATAAGTCGAAAAAACTCGCATTTTTGAAAAAAAAGTTGGAAAAACTCGTAAAATACGAGGCCTAGATAAATTATTGCCGCAATTTTACTATATGTAATAATTACCTGTTGCTGAACTTGAGATTGTACTGTAGATGTAGAATGCATTGACTGAATTGTAATTGGATTAGTAATGTGATGTGTATTGCTGGTAGCAGATGGAGAAGAGGAAGAGGGCGGCGATGAAGATGAAGTATTGGCAGAAGTAGAAGAAGAGGAAGAAGTTGATGAAGATGAAGAATTTGATGGTGGCAACATTGGTAAAATGTGTTTTATTCCAGTTGATTGATTTGATCCAGGTGTAATTTTATCATTGCCAGTAGTATTGACTGCATATAAACCAGGTGTATCTGAAAATTGATCATTTCATTTTCAAGAAGCACTCTCTATTCAAATTATCGTAATTATCATAATTATAATTATTATAATTTTTAAATTAATTATAATTAATTAAATTTTAGAAATTAATAATAATTTCTGATATCTGACAAAAAGAATTCTGAAATTGATTTAAAACCCATGTTTTAATAATACGAACTTTGAAAAGAAAATGTTCTTTAAAAAAAGAAAAATAATCTGTGTTTCGTATCGATAAAAATTTTAGACTTTCAATGAAAAAATGAATAATCTCGATTTTAGTTATGACAACAATTTAATTTTCATTAACTGTCATTTGTTTTTATTATTTAAGAGACTTACTGTTTGTGAGTAAATGTGCTAGAAGTACATTGTTATTGACATTGAGAGCTGGATCGCTTTGGGCAGAGACCAAAGGCGGCGGATGAACTCTCGCACGAGGCAAAGATGAACTACTCCGAGATCTGCTTCGAACTTTTATCTGATTATACTAAAAAAAAGTAATAATTTTTTTTTTAAATATAAACTTATTTGTATAGGTATATTTGAGATTGAGTGGAATTTTTTTTTTTTTGCATTATTCTCTAAAATTCATTTTTGGAAAAAATGTTCATAGAATATAAAAAAAAATGTACGTTAATAAGATCTATAAATTTCATCTAAAATGTTTTTGAAAATTTTGCTTAAAATGAATACAAAAAATTCATATTTCAAGTTGGCAGTGGTTTTGAAATAATAAATAAATAATAAAATATTGCGAACCTTTGGTACCGCGAAAACTTCTTCCCTGTCGGCAATAGATGCAACCGGTCTTGGTAAAAGTTTCGTAGGATGCGATGCTGATTGAGAAAGATCAAGTCCTGGCGATTTACATTGCAACAGTATGTGTGGTTGTGTTGGTTGTTGATTTGAAACCGTAACTACCAGCTGAGCTGGCATCGTCTACAAGAAGCAAATTATAATTACAAAAAAAAACAAAACAAATTCTCATAAATTAATTCGTTGGTGCAAAAATAGCATAAGTCTGTTTTTTTATATACTTATAAAAAAGTTATATATTGTATATTATATTATTATTATTGATTCCTGAACAATTTTGATTTGGGAACTGTTTCTGCACCAATTTAATTCCAAAGAAAAATAATTTTCCAAAACATCCTTTTTTATGATTTAAAAAAAATCTTACCTTAAAATTAGTCGTATTAAATTTGTACGGTTGGCTATTGAATTCTTGTTTAGGTGATGTGAATTTATAACCCTGTTGCACTTGTTGTACAACCTTATATGGTTTGAGCATTGGTTGCGAAACAGGTTCTGCTTTAATAATTATTGGCTGAGATTGCGACGAATTAGTTGGAGTATATGTTTGTGAATCAACTAAATTTTGAACATGCCTTATCGAGGCCAATTGATTTGTATTTAATGAATTATCATTTAAATTAGTCAGTTGAATTTGACTTGATCCAGAATTAAGTTGAAGTGGCTGAACATCCATTGTATATGTTTGTTGTTGAGGCGATTGATATGATAAATTTAATTGCTGATAGGTATTTTGTTGAGGTATAATTCGATTAGGCCTCGAAATTGATCTCTCTGTATTGCTTTTATCTCTGACAAGTTGATTATTCACTTGTGACTCGTAATTTTGTGGCACAGTATTGAAATTGTCGCTCAAGCTTCTGGTAATAATAATAAAAAAAAAGAGAATTTAGATAAATAATTCGAATTTTAAAATGTAAGACAATAATAATAGTTAATTAGAAGCATTCATGTGATACTAAATATTAAAGAAAAATTATTAAATTACATGTTATTTCTGAACACATTGGTTGATTCTTGTTGTGGCTGGGTATATATCTTGGCAGTATATTGCAGATTTTGTAAACTCGTATTTTGTTCATTTTGCGAGAGGGACTGTTGTGTTTGCTGACTGATAATTGTTGAATCCTGGTTAATGTCATTTACTTGATTCATAGAGGTCATAAGATCCAGTTCTGGATAATTATTAGATAAAGCTCCACTGTAATCCTCTTCTGGCACGGGTGCCAGTTTCGAATTCAAGAATTCTTTAACAAACAAACAAAAATAATAATAAAGAAGATGATCATAATTCGAAAAATAAGCAAATATAATATAATGTTGAATATGAATAAAACAAAAGATTATTTACCTTGGAGTGGTTCAAGAGTATCCATAAAGTCGTCAAGATTTGGCTGAAGTGGTCCAAGACTAGGCTGAATAAAATCAGCCAAACTGGCTCCTCGAGCTGTAAAAAATTGAATAAAAATGTACAGGATTGCCACAAAAATTTCATTATAATTTTCCCTGACATTTCCCAAACTTTCTGACAATATTTTCTGTTTTTCCCTGATATTTTCGAATTTTGGTCTTTCTATATTAAATGTGAATTCTATATTTAAACAAAATTTTGAAACAGAAGTATTTCGGACTAATTTTCAAAATCAGTCCGAAACTATCGTACATTATTTGTATTTTTCTAAACGTGAAATAAGGGGAAGAAAAAAAATGTGGACACCTACCAATTTCTCTGGGATCGGGAAAATAAATTGGCTGATTAGAACTAATTGTGGAAAAAAGTGTGTCTGTCATGAGCTCCATGTAATCCTCATCAACCATCATGCTGTGCACACTGTCTCCACCTGTCATTCCACTGGGTCCACAAAACGAATTGCCAACACCAGTTCCAAAACCACTTGAAGTTCCCAATCCGTTGCCCCATTCCAACATGTCCATTGACTCCAACTATTCATGATGACAAAAAAAAAATTAATAGCAATACCAACAATTAATAAATAAACTAATTTTCAAACAACATTACAATTAATTTAAATATTTGTTGATTAACCAATTAACTTTTGAAATCAATAAAACTTTACTGGTAATCAATATAATTAATTCACTTAATACTGAAGCAAATAATTCTATGTAAAATATAATCGATTATCAGTAGGATTTAAAAATTTTATTGTTTTGTTTTATAAATTTTGAAAGTTCATAGGTAATAATAATAATAATAATGATTCAACTAATATTAAACCTACCATATCGGTACCATCCTTGTTTGTCCAACCAAGGATTTTGTTTCGATAGAACATCCGCCATTTCTTGTACTCTGCTGTCACTGCTGCAAGTTTTCTCTTCCAATATTTACCCTCTAAAACTACAGCCTGATAAGAAAAAAAAATTAAATTTAAACCTCATCATATTATATTAAGATTAAGCATATTAAAAGACATTCATATACTTCTTTATGATTTATCTAATCAGATGATTTTTATTCCTCTATATTCTTTTATCTCAGTAAATACTTTTTTTTCAAAAAAAAAAAAAACTTATTTTTATCTTAGTAATGCGTTCTTAATAAATAGTTCTACATTATTTGAAAAATACAGTGATAGATAAATTCTTATCCAAAGTCGTGTATATAAAAAAAATAATTTCAGATAAATTTAAAAGAAAACGAAAGATGAAAAAAAAAGTTGTTTGAAAAACACAGAATATATGAAGAAAAGATTCATTATTAAAAAATATATGCTTTTCGTACATATCAGCGAAGATTTTTTAATATTATAGTTTCAATTATAAATTACCTCTGGTTTGTTGTGTGTATCGACGTCAAGTGGTGAAGCAAATTGACAAACTAGTGTATTTTGTTTTAGAATAACTGCAAAAAAAGAGAAGAAAAAATTTATTAGTTTACATATAAATATTCAAAGAACTTATATTTCAAAATTAAAATTACAATATATTGTTTTAATTTTCTATTTACAAATTTTTTTTTTAAATCGAAAAAGCATAAATAATATCAAAAAAAGTCATTATCACTTATTGTAAAATTATTTTCAATCTTTTAATCGCATGAAATATTTATTACATTTCTTTATTTACAGATAATATTTTTTTTGGCTAAAAAAAACTAAAGATTGCTCACCGCCACTTATTTAATAACAATATAAAAGAAATAAAAAATAATTAAACAGATTGTTGCTCTATTAATTAATATTCAGAATAAATTAACGTAATAATAAAGTAAATTTATTCCCATTTGTGAAATACATCGGAAATCAAAAAACTGATTAAACTTTTATATATTAAAATTTAATATCAACAGATGTCAAAATTATATATTATCCTTGTAATATTCAAGATGTTAAATTTGAATATCTGAAATATTCATTACTTATTATTCTGTTATCATTGATTTCTTCTTTTTTCAATAAAAGGAATAATTCTTTATAAATAATATTCTCTAAGATAGAATTTTTTCTACAGTCAAAAAATTTCACATTTTTGAAATAAGTGATTGTGGGGCATGATTTTTTATTTTCTCGAATTAGCATGTGACAGAATTTCTTTTTAAACAAATTTTCATGTAACAAAAATTTTGTGTGAAATTTTTTTTTATTTAATAGAATTATTGTTTTATTTTACAGAAATTATCATTACTCAAATTTTTATTCAAAAAAATTTTAATTTAGCAGAATTCTTATTCTTTTTAAGTAATTTGAATTTTTAAATAACACATTTCCGAATTCACTGATTTTTCATTTGTCCGAGTAAATCGACAAAAAAGTTTCTGCGCAAATTTAAAAATATACCAAACTCACAATTTTTTTTGCTTATTTTTGATTGGTCAATTTTAAAATTCGCGCCACAATTTTTTTGGTAGGTTATGTTTATTCGGACATTTGTAATTTCGGTCAAATGGAAAATCACGCATTTTAATTAAGAATTCTATCAGGAAATAACAATTTGTGTAAATAAAAATTCGGACAAATTTCGCTCTTTGAAATAGAAATTCTGACATTAAAAATTCCAAATCACTTAAAATTCTATTAAATAAAAATTCTGATAAATTATGAAATTTGGTTAAGTTCGAAAAAAATTAGTCAAGTAAAAATTAGTTTAAGACACTTACCCTATTATTAAAAATGTTATGTTTTTTTATTTATTTGTTTTACATTTTTCAATTAAATTCTATCTTTAAAATCAATTTAACTGGTTTTTGAGTTTTTAATGTATTTTTAATTTTATTATTCCTCCAAAAGAAGGTCGTCGGCGTCAGGTCGTTCCGATGTCCACATTTACGACGACGCATTTTGTAATATGTTTTTAAAAATGTTTCGTTAATTGTCAACTTAAAAAAAAATTATATATCGCTTTCAATCAAATTTAACCAAAGAGTCTATAAATATATTTCTTGTGATTCGAGTATAAGACTTTGTTAGTTTCTGTCGTCTAAAGTCGTTCGATTACTTGTTTTGTCAGTTGCTTGATCAAAGTGAACTTTGATTGGCGAGACAAAACCGGAAATGAATAAATATAGAGAATTATTTATTCAGAATGAAAATGGACTTTATATTTTAAGCGAAACTTGACTTCAAATATAATTGAAAGACGCGAGGAAACTGAGGTGTATTAGATACGCACGTCACCTCGACAAGCTTTAAATGAAAATGAGATAGAAAAACAATATTGGAGGGGTACCACTGAAACCAACTGTAAAGGTACAATAATAAAAAAAAACAATAAAATAAAAAAATAATTGAAAATAAAATTTTGTTATAGTATTTTTTAAAAATTAAAAACTGATTATAAAAACAAAATTTTAATTAACAGATTCTTGTATGAAAAACATGGAAAATTTATCGTACTATAAAAAAATGTTCAACTGTTTTGAAAATACAAATTTTGTATTATTTCGGAAACATAATTCGTCCCTGAATTGTATTTTAATAATCACGTGCTTTTTGCGTGAGAAAAGATTTTTTTATTTGTCTCCTTTTGTTTTTATCATTTCTCGACTCGCAAATCTTGGTCTTATTCTTCAGTATAGATGATTCTTACGAATTTTAAAGAGAGAATACTGAAATCGTTTGCTATATATTACATTTAATTATATAAATTAATATCATTTGGGAATTATAATCTAAATATTAAATTTAAAAACTGCTAATTACATTCTCTAGAAAAAAATAAAAATAGTAACAATTTTGTTTTGTTAAATTTTTTTTGTATTAGTTCTCAGATATAATAATAGATATAATAATAATATATAATAATTCTTCAATTTTTAAATTTAATTCAATCATATTATTTCTTTATATTGAATAGAATTGTTTAAAAGAAAACTCGCTTAAATTTTTTTTACGAAAATCGAAAAATTAATGATAAACTTTGGAAAAAATTTTTGAATATTAATAAATAAAAATAATTAATTTACAATATTTTTAATTTTTTTATTGGGACGCATGAATTTCCCCAAAAAAATGTAAATGGTTAGAATTTTCATTTAAAAAAAATTTTATTAGATATATAATTATTTTTTAGTTAAAAGTTCTTTTTTCGAATTATAGCATATTTGAGAAAATTTCTTTCTAAACGATGTTTTACTAAAAAAGATTTTTTATGGGTACAGAATTTTTATTTTACAAAATTTCTCTTTATTCAACTTTTAATTTTCAAAAATCTAATTTCAACTAATATTAATTTAGCAGAATTCTCATTTACATGAAATTTAAGTGAATCGAATTTTTAAATGCCAAAATTTTCATTTGTTCGAATTTTTATTTGCTAATTTAAAAAAATGAAAATTCATCCAAAAAGTAATTATATCTAATAAAATTCTTTAAAATTGTAACAAATGATTTTTATTTGGAATTTCTTACTATAAGAAAAAAATATAATTGGGCAAAATAGTAAAAAGTACTTAAGGGGACTTTCTGGTTTAGAATTGACAAAAAAGGAAGGTTTTAAAACTTTTATTGTAAGAACAGTATTAAAGAAATTGTAAAAACTATTTTTGGACATTGTAGCACATTGCGTAGAGAAAATTTAAAAAATATGTTTGAGTGTATTTAGTTCAATTCCATAGCTGTAGGTGGCGTCTTCCAAAAGATACCTTTTTTTTGGTACGTTAGTTTCCGGGCAACCTGTAATACATAAATTCAAGTTCCAAACGGGAATCTCTTCATAAGGATTTATTCTGGGGCCTAAACCTCAAAAACGATTTTTTTTAAAGGTTTTTTTATTTTTTATGTACATTTTTCTCAAAAACTCACAATAACGCCGTGTTTTTGGGTCAATTTACCTCCATATAAAAACACAGGGGGTAGAAATATGAGTTTTTAGAGGTTTAGGCCTCAGTTTTTTAAATAAAGAATCGAAAAATTTTTGGGATTTTAAAATCGGTTCGGTAGATTTCGAGAAAAGCTCTGTACCAGTTTGAAAAATGAGTTTTCGAGAAAAACGCGTTCAAAGTTTTTATAACATAGTTCATTGAGTCATGAATATCAAACAACTTTTTATTACAACAGAACTTCGTATCCCGCTGTTTTTAGGGTCGCTGATTACGAATTTGTTGTCCGTTTTGGAAAATTCAAAATGGCGGATCCAATATGGCGGACGAAAAAATAAAAAATCAACCGAATTTGCTTAAAACTTGTTAATCGGGGGTTTTTGGGGTCGCTGATTACGAATTTGATGTTCCTAGAACGATAATGTTTTGTGCCTATATTCATAACTAGCAATCTCAAAAGGCCACAAGTAACCATTTTCAACTAAATTTAATTAATTTCTTAATCTTTGTCCGCCATATTAGATCCGCCATTTTGTATTTTCAAAAACTGACATCAAATTCGTAATCAGCGACCCCAAAAACCCCCGAGTAACAAGTTTTAAGCAAATCCGGTTGAATTTTTATTTTTTCGTCCGCCATATTGGACCCGCCATTTTGTATTTTCAAAAACTGACATCAAATTCGTAATCAGCGACCCCAAAAACCCTCGAGTAACATGTTTCAAGCTAATATCAATAAAAGAGGAACACCAAATATGTAAATAAGATAACTGTAGATTGTTGTTGAAATACATACCGTCATAAATATTGTTATAACTTTTGTTTTTGTACATATTTTTTAAAAAACGTTTTGGGACAGTAATTCTATGATACTATGGAACATTTTTAAGCAAAAAAAAAAAAAATCGATTTTTTTTAAATTCTAAACCAGAAAGTCCCCTTAAAAAAAACACAACCTAACGAGTGAAACTTTAAAAAAAATAATAAGGAAAATATTTTTTTAAATAAGAAATCAGAATTTTTAATGAGAAAATGTTAATAAAAAGAAATAAATTCTGACAAATTATAATTTATCTGAAAAAATAAAAAGAATTATTTAAATTTTAAATATAGATATACATAGTAGAACATATAAGCTAATTGCGACGAAGACTGCGTATTGGTTATTGTTAATTAACAATGATCATTATTATGATTTGTAACAACATATAATGGGAACTTCCGCGCGTGGCTGCCAATGACCGTGACAGCAAAAAGGAGGGAAAAAAAAATTTATGAAAAATATTGTCAGCCAACCGTCGTTAGGGGTTATCAAAATAATGATTAAAAAGGGTCAACGATTTTGGTCACTTATCTCAATGATTTGAAAGTTTGTAGTCAAATAATTTACACCTGATTCATAAAATGTATATTTATAAAAATCGACATTTTGTACAAAGTGCTTCGTAATTGCATAATTTACGAAAATTTAATAAAAATTTTAATTTTCACGTTTTATGTTTAACTCGATGTATAAATTCTCTATTTTGTCCCTTAAAAACAATTTTTTTTTAAAAAAAGCTTCAGTTAACATTTTTTAATTTTTCA